GCGTCATAGCTCACAGCAACCTCAAACTTTTGGGCTTAAATGATTCTCTTGCCTCAGCCTCCCGAGTAGCTGGGACTACAGGCACCTGCCACAACTCCCAGCTATTTTTAGAGATGGGGTCTTGCTCTAGCTCAGGCTGGTCTCAAACCCGTGATCTCCCAGCCTTAGCCTCCTAGAGTGCTAGGATTATAGGTGTGAGCCACCATGCCCGGCCTCAAGTAATATATTATTCACTTTGGAAGTTTTTTAGAACAATGAACATTTTAAGGTGTTGGTTTAAAGGTAATAGGATTTTATAGAAGGCAGTTGCATAGCTATATTTGAAAGGTTCCATACCCAAGGATAAAATCATTCCGAGACTCAAGACGAAAGGAAGATGGAGGTCCAATTTGTGCAATTAAAGTGGCTTTTATTCCACCTGGAGTGCAGGAGTGGTGAGATTCCTGACTAGGGAGAAAGCCTCACGTGGACTATGTCGGATGGGGATTTAAAGGGTTAGGGCAGCCAGGATTGGTCTGTCCATAGCTTTACCTGGGCAGGTAGGTGAGACAAGGGTAGGGAGGTCTGGATTGGTCCGTTCACTATTTCATGGGAGGGACATACTTTCCATGAAGGGGATCCTTCCTGGATGGGACGGCAACTTGATTCTATCAATATTTCCTTAGTAATTTTTTTCATACTTAAGAGAGGCATCTAGAAAATGATTTAGTTAGCTAGAATGTTATAATCACTAAATTTGCATTTCAAACATTGTGGAATTATCTCGAAAGAATTGTCTGTGGTGCTTTATGTTGCATTATGTCCCTTAGCATAGATAATATGTGTTAGCGTTTTTTTTTTTTGCCCTATCAATTATGTTTTATTATTGGCATAATAGACATAATATTATACATTATTCCATACCTATTAAACAATAACTCCCACTCCCCCTTCCTCCTAAGTGCTCTGGCTAGGACTTCAAGTACTGTGTTAATAGAAGTGCTGAGAGTGGACATCTTAGCCTTGTTTCTGATCTTAGAGGAAAAGTCTTTTACCATTGAGTATAGTATTTGCTGTGTTTCTTTTTTTCTTTTGAGACAGAGTCTCACTTTGTCACCCTTGGTAGAGTGCCTTAGCATCATAGCTCACAGTAACTTCCAACTCTTGGGGCCAAACAATTCTCTTGCCTCAGCCTCCCAAGTAGCTGGAACTATAGGCATCTGCCTCAGCCTCCCCGAGTGCTAGGATTAGAGAGGCATGGGCCACTGCACCTGGTGTATGTTCTTTTCATAAATAGCATTTATTAGGTTGAAGTAGTTTTTCTTTTTTTTTTGAGATAGAGTCTTATTATGTCATTCTCGGTAGAGTGCTGTGGTGTCACAGCTCACGGCAACCTCAAACTCCTGGGCTTAAGCGATTCTCTTATCTCAGCCTCCCAAGTAGCTGGGACCACAGGCGCCCGCTCTAACACCCGGCTATTTTTTGGTTGTAGTTGTCATTGTTTGGCAGGCCCGGGCTGGATTCAAACCCTCCAGCTCTGGTGTATGTGGTTGGCATCTTATCTTTAGTATTGCCTTCTTTCTGATAGCTTTGGGTTTAGTCTGTTTTCTAGTTCCTTAAGTTCTAAACTGAGGTTGTTGATTTGAATTTCTTCTTCTTTTTTTTTTTGTTTTTTTGTTTTTTTATTGTTTTTAGTTATAAGTTTCTCCCTTAGCACTACTTTCACTACATCCCATACATTCTGGTATGGTGTGTTTTCATTTTCATTGGTCTCTAAATGCTTTTACATTTTCCTGTGATTTCTATTTTAATCCATTGGTCGTTTAGTTGAAAGTATGTTATTTAATTTTCAAAGATTTGCGAATTTTTTCCTCTGCTATTGAGTGCTATTTTCATTCAGAAGAAAGGATACTTTGGGGCAGTGCTGTGGCTCAGAAGGGCAGGACGCCCGTCCCATATGCCGGAGGTGCTGCAGGTTGAAACCCAGCCTCAGCCAAAACAAAAAAGAAAAGATACTTTGTATGATAGATAATCTGTTTTTGTAGTATAGATAACATATCTATCTTTAAAATTGATTGAGAATCCTTTTGTTGCCTCACAAATGTCTCATGTGCACTTGAAAAGAATATACATTCTGTTGTTAGTGGGTAGAGTGTTTGTTAGATCTAATCAGTTTATTGTATTGTTGCATTGTAAAACAATAACAGCAACAAATAACAGGTTTTTGTATTTTTCAGGAATTTTCCATTTGTGGTACCATGTTAGCACTCAGAAAGTTTTGCATTTTGCAACATGTCAGATTTCAGATTTTTGGATGAGGGGAGCTCTAGCTGTAGGCTCTTTTTTTTTTTTGAGACAGAGCCTCAAGCTATCCCCATGGGTAGAATGCCATGGCATCACAGCTCACAGCAACCTCCAACTCCTGGGCTCAAGCGAGTCTCCTGCCTCAGCCTCCCAAGTGCAGCCATCATTGTTGTTTGGCGGTCTGGGCTGGATTTGAACCCGCCACCTTAGGTGTATGTGGCTGGCACCTTAGCCACTTGAGCACAGGCGCCGAGCCTAGCTGTAGGCTCTTAATCAGGTACAGAAAACAAGTGTAGTTACAACTGTTGCTGTAGTAATGGTAGTTTTTATATTTGCCATGTGTTTACCTTTACTGAGGTTTTTGTTTCTTCATTTGGCTTAGTGATGTTATTTCAGCATCCACTTTAGCATTTTTTGTGGGCAGGTCTGAGGCAGCAGACTTCTTCAACTTTTTTTGTTGTTGTTGCAGTTTGGCCGGGGCCGGGTTTGAACCCACCACCCTCAGTATATGGGGCCGGTGCCCTACTCACTGAGCCACAGGCACTAACCCAACTTCTTCAACTTTTGTTTATCTGGAAGTGTCTTGAATTTTCCTAAACTTTTAAAGGTCAGTTTTTGTGGATATGGGACTCTTGGTTTACAGGGTTTTGTTGTGGTTGCTTTTCACTTTTAGCACTTTAATATTCTAGTCCCGTGCCATCTGGCCTCCAAAGTTGTGGAAGACAAAGCTTCTGATAATCTTACTAAGCATCCTTTTGGGGGACAAATTGCTTCTTTCTTGCTGCTTCAGAATTCTTTTTTGTCCTTGTCTTTCATTTGTTGTATTATAATATGTCTCCGTGTGAATCTTTTGGTGTTCATTCTAATTGGAGTCCTTAGAGGTTTTTTTTTGATGTTTATATTATTCTCTTTCATCCTACTTGGAAAGTTTTCTGCTGTGATTACTTCAGTAATCTCCCCCCACCTAGGCAAGTGCACTGACAGAATCCGTCCCATGTAATCACTTCAAACCCTGGTGTCTACTGAAGACTTGTTGTTTGGCAGGCCCAGGCTGGATTCTCCATCTCTCTTCTCCTTTTGGGATTCCTACAGTGCATGTGTTGGTCCATTTAATGGTATCCCAGAGGTTCCTTAGGTTCTGTTCAATTTTCCAATCTTTTTTATCTTTCTGTTTCTCAGACTCAATAACTTAAATTGTCCTATCTTTAAATTTGTTGATTTGTCCCTCTGCATGTTCATATATGACTTTGAATCCCTCTGATATATTTTTGGTTATACTTTTCAGTTCTATAGTGTTTCCTTTTTAATTTAATTTAATTTTTAATTTTTTTGAGACAGAGCCTCAAGCTGTCACCCTGGGTAGAGTGCCGTGGCATCACAGCTCACAGCAACCTCCAACTCTTGGGTTTAAGCGATTCCCTTGCCTCAGCCTCCCAAGTAGCTGGGACTTCAGGTGCCCGCCACAACACCTGGCTATTTTTTTTGGTTGCAGTTGTCGTCGTTGTTTGGCAGCCCAGGCTGGATTTGAACGCCCCACCTCTGGTGTATGTGGCTGGCGCCTTAGCTGCTTGAGCTACAGGCATCAAGCCAGTGTTTCCTGTTTTAGATATTCTATTTCATTTTTGACATTTTCACTTTATTCATATATTTTCTTAACTTTCTTTGACTTTTCCTTTAGTTCTTTGAGCATCTTTAAGACAGCTATTTTAAAATCTTAATAGTTGCACCATTTGGTCTTTCTCTAGGACAGTTTCTCCCATACTAGTTTTCCCATTGAGTGGCCACTTTCCCTGTTTATGGTGCATCAGGATTTTTTGTTGCTGTTGAAAATGGACATTTGAATCTAATAATGTGGTAACTCTGAAAATCAAAGTCTTCTCCTTCACAGGATTTGCTGTTTTTTGTTGTTTTTTGTTTCTTTCTTGTTTTTCTTTTTTAAATTGTTATAGGCTTTCTTGAGGGTCAGATTGAGAGATAAAATTAAATCTTTTCAGAGCCTGTGCCTTTTCCTGGTCATGCACAGTGTCTTTCAATTTTTCCCATATATAGTTACTTTTGATTATCCTTATCTTTTATATCTGGTTCCCAAAGGGGAAAAATAGAAAGATGAAGGGGGTAGAGAAGGCGCTGACCATTATAAGTGCCCTAGAAACTACTTCATCTGGAGGGGGAGGAACTTGCAACATACATGGGGAGAGGTGCAACAGGGCTGTCCTCTTTATGTCTACGCCTCAGTGATTAGAACACAGATCCTTGATTTTATGGGGGTGTGGTTATTAATAGTTTACCCTGGCTCCTGCAAGTTGTATGCAAGCTGCTTGGGGAACATGAGCTATGGGGCTGCTAAGAGACAGGTAACTGCTGCTAGTTTAGAGTTCAAATTGACTAAAATTAACCACAATTTTATCTCCTAAACCTTCCCCTGGAAGTTACAAATCTTCAGTAGACACCAGGGTTTGAAGTGATTGCGTGGGACAGATTCTGCCAGTGCACTTGCCTAGGTGGGGGGAGAGATTCCTGATGTTTCCTATTCTGCCATTTCCCACAATCCTGTCTTTTAGGTATATTTTATGTAATTGCTTCTTGCCATAGGATGTAATTTCAGTTTCCTTAGACTGCTGGCATGGATTTGTTGCTTTTGTGTGTGTTGGTTTTCTACATTTGTTGTTTCTGTATTTTTTTTATATGGCATTAGTCTGTTGCCTTTTCCCTTTTGATTCCAATTTCTGAACTTTTATTCTCTTTAATACCTTGAACCACTTTTTAACCTTATATTTAGTAGGCTGTTTCTTATAGCACTTCTATTAATTTTGAAAGTCAATCATTTTTAGCTATATACAATTTTTTTTTTTCTTTTTTGAGACAGAGTCTCACTATGTTGCCCTGGGTAGAGTGCCGTGGCATCACAGCTCATAGCAACCTCAAACTCTTGGGCTTAAGCAATTCTCTTGCTTCAGCCTCCCAACTAGCTGGACTACAGGCACCTACCACAACACCCAGCTATATATTTTTGTTGTTGTTGTTGCAGTTGTTATTGTTGTTTTAACTGGTCCGGTCTGGGTTTGAACCTGCCAGCCTCAGGGTATGTGGCCAGTGCCCTTACCCACTGAGCTACAGGTGCCACCCAGCTATTTTTCTTTTGTTTTGTAGTTGTCATTGTTGTTTAGCTGCCAACCCTGGTGTATGTGGCTAGTGCTCTAACCACTGAGCTATGGGCACGGAGCCAGCTACATACAATTTTTAGAATGAAACTTTTTTTTCTTGAGACAGAGTCTTGTTCTGTCACCTAGGCTAGAGTGCAGTGGTGTCATTGTCGGTCACAGCAACCTCAAACTCCTGGGCTCAAGAATCCTCCTGCCTTAGCCTTCTGAGTAGCTGGGACTATAGACCCATGCCATAGCACCTGGCTAAATTTTTCTATTTCTAGCAGAGGTTGGGGTCTTGCTCTTGCTCAGGCTGGTCTTGAACTCCTGACTTCAAGTGATCCACCCTCCTTCACCTCCCAGAGTGCTAAGGTTACAGGCGTGAGCCATTGATGGTTATGTTTTATTAAATGTTTAGATAATTTGACATTTTACATTTTGAAATGAAAATAATGTGGTTGCATTTTTTCCTTGTAAATCAATAGACATCAAAATTTACAAGCTCCTCAGATATTCCAGTAGAATTTATAAGAAGAAATGTTAAACTACGTGGACGGTTACGCCGAATAACTGAGAATGGTTTAGAAATTGAACATGTTCCTATTACTTTACCTATAATATCTTCATTGAGAAGTAAGTAATGTGTGATAATAATAAGACTAAGTAACTATTGTAGTTTTTTTTATTAAATGTTATTTATAAAATAGCAAAAAATGTCATTTTAATTCCCAGTAACCCTAATTGTTGATGAGAGAAAGTCTGAACTCTTGGTAATATATACCAGGGACTGTCTAATTTGGCTCCACATGTCCTTTCTTCCTTCTCTCTTATTTATTTATTTATAGACAGAATCTCACTCCCTCAATTGCCCTGGGATTAAGTACTGTGGCAGCATAGCTCACACCTTCAGACTCTCGGGTTCAAGGGATCCTCTTGCCTCAGCATCCCTGAATAGCTGGGACTACATGCTGCTATTACAATGCTCAGCTAATTTTTCTATTTTTAGTGGAGACGGGGTCTCGCTCTTGCTCAGGCTGGTCTTGAACTCCTGAGCTGAGGCCATCTCTCTACCACGGCCTCCCAGAGTGCTAGCATTACAGGTGTGAACCACCGGGCCCAGTTTCTCTCCTTTTTAGAATTAAGCTACTGAGTCTTTCACTCAGGCGTTTAGTCATCCATCCACAAGTATCAGGTTCTTGTTATGGTCTAGGGCAGTGTTTTTCAATCTTTTTTATCTCACAGCACACGCAGTTCAACTTCTGTGGTACACTTCAGTTATGTTGATTAAAAAAAAAAAGAATATACTTACTATGCTTTGAACTTCTTTCAAAAATAATTTAATTCGGCTTGGCACCTGTGGCTCAAGTGGCTAAGGCACCAGCCACATACACCTAAGGTGGTGGGTTCGAATTCAGCCCGGGCCTGCCAAACAACAATGATG